AAAATAAAACTTTTCAAATAACACAAGTTCAAATAGTAAAACCAAGTTATGAAATGCAAATTTCTGAAGTTTTAAGACAATTAACTGTGTTTGTCCACAGAAATAAAAGCAAATCTTTTAAAAATAGACAAACATAAATTTTAGTTGGGGTTACATTCAGGTGACATTCAAGACATTTTCTTTGCCATTACAATAAAATCCTTATTTTTTTGAAAGGTCATTTACATATATCTTCCTGCATTGAGTGAAGATGCCCTTTCTGTTTACTTCTTTTTTTTTTTTAAATGCAGCGCATTTTTGTTTTTAATTATAGGAAAAGATACCTACTTTACAAAAAAGTTGCAAATAAAAAGTTAAGTCTGCAAAAGTGGACACCAGTATATAATTAAAATGTTTCTAATCAAATAACATGACAGTTAATCACAGGTTTAATTTTTATAGTTTTAACTGTTGTCAATATTAATTTCATCTAATAATAATACACTAGATATAGAGGGCTCCTTGGTGTTCTTTCTACCCCAACCTTTGCCTGAATATGGCACAGTAAGAAACAAACCCAGCAAAATACTTAGGTTATTTTTTTAAATAAGTTTAAAATTTACACTTTTAAAGAAATTTTAAGTTAAATTTTATGGAAAAAATGTTTAATTATTTTTTGCTATTTATTTTTTCTTTTGTAGAAGTGTTATCTGAAAGTACCACAACTAGTTACAATATTAAATAAAGAAAAAAAATACTAAGTTATATTTGGGATTTAAGCACCTTTCTCAATTCAGTGATATCAAAAGAAGACAATATATGGGATTTTTATTCATAGTCACACACACAAATTCCTCTCAAACTATCTGAAGCAAGCAGCTGTAAAGGAACCCACTCCGCATTCCTAACTCACCCACACTGGCAACTCCTGTGGCTTCTGGAACACCTGTCTGATTATAAACAAGGTCTCCTGCACTCTGAATCTCTACCTCTGCCTGAAAGAAAACCGCGCTCCTCTTCAATCAAACTTGCAGCTCTTGGGAGTGAAAGCTAATCACTCCCTCAGAATCTGTATAATTTCCCTACTTTTTTTTAGGCAAATCCTCTCTCCCTACTTTACAACTCAGAACTAAAAGAATTATCACCATCCACCCATCCATCTATCCATACAACATGTACATAGTGTCTGGTGTGTGCCTGGCACAGTATTAGATGTAGGCTACAGAACATATACATAAAACATTTATACACACATGCACACTATATAAAGAACATATACAAAGTCTCCTAGAGGTTACAATCGAGACAACATGAAACAATCACACAAGTAAATAACTGCCAATTATGAAGAAAAAGAATAAGCAATATGGGAGAATGAGCAGGATTTAGACAAGAGGAGAAAGAGAATTCCAAGATGAGAAGAGGAAGGAAAAAAATGAGCTTGGATTTCAAGGAAGCCAAGTACAACTGGGTGTAGTAGGTGGAAAGGAGAGTTGTATGAGAGGAGGTAAGGGGCCGAGCGGGCAGGCAGGCCTTGAGGGCCATGCTGAGGACTTTGGATTTTATTCTCAGTGTAATCAGAAAACTTGACAGAGTTTTAAATGTTCATTCCTTGTCACTGTAATCTACTCGCCTGCTCACATTTAACCAGGATGCTTGCTCTTCAGCTTCCCCCCAGTTCCTGGCACATCCTAGACTGCTTCACCATCCAAGGCTTCTCAGTTACTGAACATCCTGGACTCTAGGGACCTCCATCTCCACCGCTACAAGGTGGCTCTTCATGCTTTTCTTGTCTACAACTACTCCATCTCTAAAAACCAAATTCCAGTGTTTCATTCTTGGATCATAACCTCTCACCAATCCCGTTTTCCCACTCCTTAACATCTATCATGCCTGTTCTCCTTTGGAAATTTATTTATTTGATTAGAAAAAAACAACAAAAGTAATAAAATCTCATTAGAATAAGTGAAACAAACAAACAAACAAAAAAGCACACACAGGAAAAATTATTACTATTTTCCCCATCCCTACACCAAGGCAGGTAGGTTTCTATACCTTTTTCCATGTGTATAACAATGTATGTGAACTTAAATACAAACATAAGTTTTTTTAAATTACAAAAAATAAATCATACTAAACACATAATTTTGTGACTTTTTCTCACCTAAAAGTAAAAATCATGAATAAACTGCAAGCCAGCAGAGGCAGATCAAATTCATTCTTTAAATTGTTACACATTTTTCCAACTACAGACCTTCCTGTGGCTCACCTCCAAAGAGGACTTCAATTGCTGTTTGCTGCAACAGATCTGCTGACCTCATAAAACCTTGAAGGGGCTCCCTAGTGAAGGGCTTCCAATCTTTGTAGTTGGGAAAGAACTGAGGCTTGCAACTAAAGTCTAGGAGCAAAACAGTTCCTCAAAGAAACTCATCAGATGGTAACAGGTCTCATAGGCCCATGAGAACTGAGGCCCTCACATCTTTCACCACTTGGTTTGCTACTGCCCAAGACATGTGCAGGCAGGCTGCTGGCAGATGTTGAGGAAACACAGCCATGAGTAGCCAAGGAAAATCAAAACTTACTTATGGAGCATGGAAGGAAAGATGGCCAGCAGAACAGAAATAAGAGATGTCTACTGAAGTAGAACCAATGGAAGAGACAGAAGAGAATTTGAATGAAAATACAATGGAATTACAGACCTTAACAAAAAGACAGTAAGGAATGTAAAAAACATGACTTCTTAACTAAAAATTCAACATGCAACGGAAAAAGAGAATGACTGACCTTGAAAATCACATTAGTCAGAAATATGGATAGAAGGAATATCTCACAAAAAACCCAGTGACAGATACCCCAAGGGGAAAGTCCCAGTTGCATGGAGGTCAGATCCAGGAGACTAAACAAGGAGGAGCAAAGGAACATGTGGCAAAGTAATAATATAGATAATGAAAGAAAACTTTTTTTTTTTGAGACAGAGTCTCACTTTGTTGCCCAGGCTAGAGTGCCATGGTGTCAGCCTAGCTCACAGCAACCTCAAACTCCTGCATGCAAGCAATCCTACTGGCTCGGCCTCCCGAGTAGCTGAGACGACAGGCATGTGCCACCATGCCCGGCTAATTTTTTCTATATATTTTTAGTTGGCCAATTAATTTCTTTCTACTTTTAGTAGAGACGGGGTCTCGCTCTTGCTCAGGCTGGTTTCGAACTCTTGACCTTGAGCGATTCTCCCGCCTCGGCCTCCCAGAGTGCTAGGATTACAGGTGTGAGCCACCGTGCCCGGCCTGAAAGAAAACTTTTATAGCCTAAGAGAGTCTTGAAGCCCCAAATATCATCAAGAATAAAGGGAAAATCCTACAAACCTTTTAGTACTGTGGCTAAATGGGCTTTCTGGGATGGTAAAAACCTAGAAGCAAGAGACACTTCTCAGGAACCCCAGGGTACTGACTCTGGGGCCGCACTGATGCTGAGTTTGGTTCATACACCAGAAGAGCCTGGTGTGTTGTGCTCACTGCCTCACATGGAAACAACATCAGGCACAGAGACTATTAAATTTCTTCTAGCATCCAGCAAATTTCCTTTGTTGTGTTGTGTCACTAGGAGCTAAGCACCGACCCTAGGAACTTTGCAGTAGTCATTTCCTTCCAAAATTTAAACCTCAGGTATCAATTTTAAACACCATAGGCACAAGTTACTTTAATGAAAATAAAAGATCAAAAACATGAAAAAAGGAAGTATTAAAGGATGAGATAAATGCATTACTGTTTAAAAAAACTTTTATGTATGAAATGGATACAAAGATAGTATGGTCATAGTTAATGGCAGAAACTCTGGATGTCTATCACTAATTATTAGCTGTGTGACTTTGGGCAAGTTACTTAACCTTTCTGTATCTTAATTTCCTGAAAAATAAATGAGTTAATACATGTATCACACTTAAATTTTGTCTGGCACATAGCAAGTGCTTAATAAATAATAGCAATGTTGCTGCTGTGTTGCTGCCACTGCAACCTCAGGAAGATAGCACTGGATAGAGAATAATTTTACAGAATTGAATTGAAATACCAACTTTAAAACTTAAGTTTCATGCCACAGTCATGGTAGTTAATCCCTCAGGCTTACATTTTCATATCTAAAAGAGGAATATCAATATAAATACTTACCTCTTTCAACAACTATCCATTTGTTTATCCACAAATATCAACCAAGCACCCACCATATATCAAGCACTATGTGAGATACAGTTCTGCCCTTAAAGAACTTACAGTTTAGTGAGCACAACTCAAGAGCTCTGGTTTCCTTTCATGTGGACATTTCTTAGGAGATGTGTCAGGGTCAAGTATGTTTTTTAGTACCACAAATACTATGATTTTAAAAAAAGACAACACTAATTTTGTTAGCAATTTTTGGGCAAAAATTGTGGTCAGTTTCTGACATTCTATATTTTGCTATTTTAAAAAATGCCATGAAACAGTTGGGTCACTAGGAAGTAAGCCCCTGAAGAAGTTATGATGGTCTTAGTTGTAAGAGGACTCATGGGAAGGTGGTCTCCATTTCTGATCAGAAAAGAGGACAAAACATCTTGGAGAGAGAGAGCTCTGTTCATAGGCTGGAACTGTGTAGTACATAACCTGCCTTTTTGAGTGATCTTTTAAGATCTGAGTGTTAATTTGAATAAACAGCTTTCAACTCACTGTCCAAGAAAAGCACTATAACTTGATCCTTAGTAAACTATATTCATCTCCTTTTAGAATATCCTGCCTTCTTGGCACATAGGATGGGAGATTATAGGCAGCAAGTTCTTTGTCGACTTGGACAACCTCATCTTAATAGTAAACACCTTACCCTAAAGCTTCTTGGTACTAAAAGTGCTTATTTTGATCAAGCCATGTGAGCTGGCCATGGGAAGGGTGGGACAAGTTATTCCCTTTTAATCTTTCAGTTAATTCAGGGGCTTTAGAGCGTCTACAATAGTATCAGATGATCACTAACATAAGTGAACAAAAGAGAACATTAATTCAAAGGACAGCCTGAAAGGCTATTCTTTATAAAGAAACAATGCCTGACAACATGATTTCATCTGTTACTGTCAGTTGGCATTTAATAGCTATGACTCAAAATTTTATATTTAAAACCTAACAGAAATTATAATGGCAACTCTGCATATACTTGAAGCAATATTAAATATATTAAGACCTTTGGTATCTTTAGAAAGTATGTAATTATACCATTATTAAAAAGTAAAATTCAGAATATTTTCCTTTATTATATTTATATAGCACCACAATATAAAACAATTATATACATTATTTAAAATCATGTATTTGGCTCACAATTGACCTAGATTCATTACAAATTCACTTGAATCATGGCTACAGACATCACAAAGAATGAATCTGACTTGTGTGTGTGTGTGAGACAGCGAGCGAGAGACAGAGAGAGAGAGAGAGAAATGTTCTAAAAATCAATATAATTTAAAAAGGAATTAAACCAGAGCTAAATGAGAATTATCCAGCAAAAAGGATAACAGCTATCTTGTTTTAAAGTTTCAATAAGATAATAAATTATGTTTCAAAAATCTTTATATAAAAACTCTAATGTTACCACCCATAAATCATAAAATATAGCAACTGGTAGTATATTTATTTATTCTTTACCTAATCACATTTTAGACTCATAATAAAATCTACTGCTTATAGAAAATAAATTTGACAATTTATCCAAACATTGTTACATAAGAAGTTTTAAGAAACTGTAAATAATTCTTAATACTCTCATTTTGATTTTCCGACTTCTCAAGACTATGTTGTATTTCTTTCAAACACACTTCCTGATGCTGTGCTTTCTAAATGAAAAAAGAGAAATACAGATAATCAATAATGCATTCAAATCAAAGGATAAGAGTCATAGTATAAAATATATATACAATAACTGAATAGATTATTTTTAATTTTTTGAAAGAAAGAATCCTCGTATTTGATGTGGTCATTCTTAGTGCTCACTCTTCTTTAAAGATTAAAGCACATACATGGTTGATCTCTATTATGAAAAAGTTTATTGTAATACACTTGGCCCCAAATGATTACATATCTAACATGATTAACTTAATAAAGAGCTTTTATTTAAAATTGTCATAATTTCCATTATATTTAACATGATATATTTTCATACTAGTTTTTGCCATTTTCTCTGCCTCAAAATTCATATTTTATACCATAAGAATGATCTTTGCTGTATTAAAAAATGACAGAATTCTAGTTTTGATAATGTGAACATTTTATTCTTAGAATCCTTTAAAAAATAAAAAAGAACTCTTAATATTACAGATGTGCTGTGAGGAAAAAACATAAAAGCCCAATACATTTTTTTAACTTCAGTTGCATATAAATTCCTAAGTAGATCTGTTCACTGAAAATGCATTAAATAAAGACAGGTTGCAAATGCCACCTAGTTCCCACTAAAGTGTAAGCATCTTGAGAAGAGAGATCTTTTATGCCCCTATATTAGGTGTTCAATAACACCTGATACCTTCTGAAATTGAGCAATGACCATGAGGTGAAGTGGGGCCATACGAGGCAATGTGCTAGAGAGGGCTGGCTACACACAGTCACAGAATGAATATAGCCAATGTCTCTGGAGCATCAGTTTAACTCAACAATTTACAGAGATAAAAAGTGACACACACTTATCCTGGAGGGTAGAATGTAAAATGTGAATGGATTTTAGGATAATACATAAGACTTCAAAGACATCCTCAGACCTGTGCATCCACTCTGCCCCCAATTAGAGTAGTTGGGCAGAAAATACAAAAAGGCCTGCAGGCAGGCAGGGAACGTACCCCATAATACACTAAAATAAAAAAAAATTTAAAAAAGATCACATAAAAAAAAAAAAAACCCACCAGAGATACAGTCAACTAGGGGACACGCTCTCAGAATGCTTACAATTCAATTGGGGCTAACGCAGGCACATAAATACCCAACTGCCCACTGAACTGTCCTCTGGAAGTCACAGAACACATAAATTCATTTTTCAGCAAGTCTAAACATATGCTTAGAATTCTAGATTTTTACTAGTGCAAAAATTATCAGGTTTAACAAAACATATGATCTTAAACCTATTTTAGTAGCTTTAGCCAAGTATTGGGGACACAGCAAAACCTACCTCATTTTAGTTTATTTATTTTATTTTTTCAAAAGTTTCAATTACACAAAGAACATCACACATACTTTACATTCTCAGAAACGCTGATGGTGAGTAAAAAAAAAAAAAAATTAGAAATAAAGGGAAGACCTGTGCTATTAAAAGTGATAAATGTTCTGATTAAATTTCACTATTTTGATAGAAATAAAATTAAATAGTGCTTGCCAAAAATCATCTCACTTTTGTTTTCAAGTTTTTAGACACTTAGGAATGAAAAATAGTTTTCATGGAGCCTTTGGCTTCTGAAAAAAAGAAATATCATTATTTACTATGTCATTAAGTAGATAGTGATTAAGTAATTTAATCACAACTAATGCTTATTTTCAGAATATCTTATGCCAATTGACAATTTCATGAATATTCAGGAAGAGAACATTAGAATACTAATTAAACACAACCAATTTGGTATTCTCATTTCATGGCTGAGTTGATCAAAGCATCCATCTCACATGCAGATATAACAATACTGAATATTTATTTAACAACAAATTATAACTTTCTAAAATATAATATTCATTATTCAAGACAGATATAAAAATCTAATTCATAATAATAAATTGTGTTTATCTTTAAAAAATGAAAAATTCATACCAAGAAGAAATTAAGTATACTTGTAACTTTTATTAACCACCTGTCATACAAAAGCAAGGAAAGGGCCTGATATGATTTAGGAGCAATACAATAGATGCTACCAAGGAGGACAGATAATAAATTCTTTGGCATATCCTGACATTTTTATTTTTTATGTACTATATTATTTGTTATTTTTAATATTATCAGTAAAGCAATAGCCTTGATTCCTCTCACTTTGTACTCTACACAGTAAGCATGTTAAAATCTAATTTATTTTTTATGATAATACATTAAGCCATACTAATACTTACACTGTTCATTTTGCAAACAAGTTGATTTTGCTCTTCATTTTTCTTTCTAAGCTCAGTTTCCAGATCTAATATTTTAATTTGTAAAGCCCTCTCTCTAGATGACATTTTCTCTATTTCTTCAGAAACCTGTAATTTTTATTAAAAGAGCAAAATAACTAAATGTGGTTTCTTGAAAGCTTTGACATGGTTATGCTGTACCTCTTTTGTCCAAACAGATATTAACTGGACGTTAGACAATTTCATTAGAAAATGTTTTAAAATGTTCTATCTTGAAGAAGCACATGTACTATACTTATGTTTGCAGTATAAATATATGCAAAATTAGCTTGAGATGGAAGAGATGTAAACATTTTCACTGCTTTGTTACTTAGGTAGGTATTTTCCCCAACAGTGTATTTTTAAAACATACTGAGGCCAATTGCCATTTTTCATAGTTTTTATATTCACCATGGTATCTAGAGCAGTGGTAGAACATAGAAAGTTCTCATTAAATGCTGATTACACACTTAGGATGGATAGAATTAAGGGAGTGATGTACACATTATACACACAGATTGGTTTTTCATTCATTCACTTCCAAAGAAATCTGAATATTAGTTTTCATATTTCTCTGATCACTTATTTTAGCAGAAAGTCTAGCTTAGTTGTATTTACCCAAGGATTCAGACATGTGGGAACCTATTGGTAAAAATGTTGGGCTGGAGCCCTGAGAATGAGAGAAGAGGTAGGGACTAGACCAGGAGCAAGGAGCTAGTGGAAGGACTCTAAACTAATACCTATGGACTCAGTTCTAGATCATTATAAAGTTATTTACAAAGATTTCTTCTGTACAAATTACAAGGGCAATTGCGAATGAGGGACACTAATAGGATCTGAAGCTGTGGAAGGAAGGGCCCTCAGGACAAACATCCATGCCCTTGGCACTATAACCTCCATGTGGGCAATGGTGACAGGTAGTAATAGGATTCCTCACGTGAGCAGAAACTAGAGACAGCCCCAAATTCCACTACAGCAAGAGAGAAAGGAGAGGGCAGAAAATCCTCTGGGGACTCTGAACTCTTCCTTTTGGAAAGGAATCTGAGAGCACATGGTAATTGCAAAGTCCATTTAGGCTGAACCTCAGATAAAGTCACTTCTTATTTTCCTCCGAAAGGTAGGTGGGGCTGTGAAATCTGTATTATATTTTGACCATTGGCAGTATATTTCGTTATTTAGATTTTATTCAATTATGTGTCTCTCAAAATCAGTTTAAATTTGTTTCCCAGAGTTTAAGAAAATCAAAATATATGTGTGAAACTTGTGAAATAAGAGCCACATTTCAAGCCACATTTCACCAGATTTTTTCTAACTTTTATGCAATTGTCATTAATGGGCTTTAGGAAGACCACAAGTTGAAGAGAGTTTACAGAGAATGATTCAGAATTTGGTTTTGAACATATTAAGTTTGAAACGCCTACATTAAGTGAAGATGCCAAGTAAGTGGTAGAATATATGAGCTCGGATTTCAGGGAGGAGAGAGGTCGGGATAGAGATACACATCTGAGAGTCCTCAGAATATAAATGATTGCTTTTTAACATCACTCAGTCCTGTGAGGAAACTCATTATTCCCATTTTACAGATTAAGAGACTAAAGTTAAGGGAAGCAGCTTGCCATGGGTCAGGGTACAATGTATCAAAGCCAGAATTTAAATTTGGTTCCTGTTAGACTCCAAAGCCCACCTTATATCTTTTCAAGATTAGATTTTCAAATTGATTCATTTACCTCTTCTTTGAGATCTTCCTGAATCATTGCCTATCACCTCTAGCTTGAAATAACCACTTTCTCTGGTGTACCTTGAGCCCATCCCTCTATTATAGCACATATATGTAGCAAGACATTTGTTGTTCACATGTTCCTCCCTACTAAATTGAGTGTCCTGAGAGCCAAGGCCAGGCCTTATTCATCTGTGCATCTTAAGCACTATCAGAGTACCTGATACAGGGAAGGTATTCACTGAATGCTAACCTGTTGGATTTAACTGGAATTTAATTTTGCATGCATTTATTTATGTAACAATATTTGACAAAAGAAACGTGCACCTCACAGCTCACCAGATCCAGATCAAAGTTGTCAATTATTTGTACATTCAATTTCGTTTTATATTTTAAAAAAAGTTGGGGGGAGGAGAGGGTTACGCCTTCAAAGTATCTTCCATCTCTGCCCTTTACCCTGCCACATCACCATTTATCTAGTGAAATAACTCTGGCTCAGTAATGTAAATGCTTTGCTTGAAAGGGAAAATAGGTAAAGAACAAAAATGTAATTGCTCCCTCCACCCTGTCATCAGGATAAAAACAATAACTGTTGGTTTGGCAAGATGAAATATTGTCTGTTTAAAAAGACAACTCTTTGGTAAACTAATTAAAAAGTTGCTAAATATAGGCTATCCATACCTTTTGTCTGCCTTCTTGTAAAGCAGCTTCTAGTTGCCTGGCCAATGCTATATATTCTGCAGATTTCTCTTTAAACTTAAGATTGCTGTGCTTAAGACATTCTTCTTGGTTTGCCAGCTTCTTTTCAAGCTCTTTATTTTCTGCATCCATCTGTTCTAATTTCCTTTTTACAGAAAACATATATTTTAAAATTATAGTGTGTACAGGAAAATGTAGCACCAGTTTTAAGTCAATTTAATACTTACTGTTTAAGGTTTTCACACTTCAACTGAATAAGATAATTTTCCTCTTCCAGAGAAAGCTTCATCAAAAGATTATGATTTCCATCAATCTATGAAAAAAAGTTTTTATAATCACCTTCCAAAGAAATCTACATAATGTATTGTTAGAACAATCAGAGGAAATAAGAAGGTTTAAATATTATCAGTCTTACACAGAAAGACACCAAGAAATATTACGTTGTTAAAATACAAGTTCTTAAAGTCCTGGTTAAGGATTAAAAAGCTATGTTGCCTATGTTGGAAAATCATCAACTGAAAAATTTTCTGGACAATGTATGATATTAAAACATTTTGAATGATGTTTTATTGAAGTAGGACACTTATTTTGTTAAGTCAAAATATAAAATTTTAAACAGTATTAATCTCCTATTGTGGGTATGATACTTAGAGTTTCTCTTAAAGTTTTCCATTTCACCTAAAAATACTGATTGATAATTGAATATCTGTGAAGTTGTAATTATAAGTAAAAAACCGTATTTTTGTGAGAAGCAATATGAAGCAAATCAATCACAAACACATTTGCCTAAGCTAAGTCAGAATATTCTTCCCATTGCTGCAAAGCTAATTTAAATAGTTGAAGAAGCTTTGATAATAGAAATAATCTTTTCTCATAATTTCAATTATTAATAGTCATTTAGGTAATCTGACATTCTCCTAGAAAAATCTCTTCTCAGGAATTTAAATTCACAAAAATCTTGTCAGCATGTTTTTAAAAATAGGATGTATTTCAAAATTGAAATCCAGATTATATTTGGAAGACAGGGAATCCTTCCTAAAACTATCCTGCAAGTAAAGAAAAAGTCCACCACCCTTGGACTACTGCTTTGAAAAAAAATTCATTAATTCAAAAAGTACTTGTTGAATGCTTATTGTGTGCCAGGCATTGGGCTAGGAGATGGTTATGTAGTGAGATGGCTATGTAGTGATTAACAGGACCCACATGATCCCTATTCTGATGGAGTAAAGAAAGTATAAATTGAAAAAAAAAAAAAAAGTAATTCCAATAAACTTGAGGTACAATTCTAATTAAAATAAATTCTAATTTGTGTAAGGTACATTACGATAATTTACCTAACCCTGACATTAAGAAATATACATACACGTAAGCACAGCGTTGCTCCTTCTCTCATGCTATTACCATATCCTCCAATACCTAAATATAGATTTGCGTGAATAAACTAAATTAGCAATTTTAATTTCCAACTTTTCACCAGAAAATACTAAAAGAATAGCTTGCAAAATAATATCATAGTATCTGCATGAAAATGATGTTTTATCAACTGATACAGACGGGAATAAAAATATCAAGCCCTGACATGAGTGCCCTCAACTGGTGAAATCATTCCAAAGCACTCCTTTAACACATCTAGCAAAATTCAGAATGACCGTTGGACACCTGGCCCTGCAGCTCCCTAATGGTGTGTTCCTGGTCTGCACACTTCCCCTTGCAGCGCTGCAAATTCTCCTGATACTTGTGAAGCCTCCGCTCAGCTGCCGTCAAGGAATCACGGACATGCTTTAACTTCTCCAGATGAGACTCCATCTGGTCTCTCATCTGAGTTGTGGCATTAGGGGAAATAAGTGCAAGATCACACATTCAGCATTAATATTTTTACTATCTTCAATACTACATATGCTTGCAACATAATAAGTATTTTAGGTATAATGGTTTTAAACAAAAAGATCTAGCCAAATAAATATGAATAAATATTAAATGTTGCTAAGTAAGAACATATAATTAAAAAGTGCAATAGACTTCAGTTTTCAAAGAGTTTGTTAAGCACATAAATAGACTAATATTAGCTGACAGGGAGAATGTCTAACCTGTTTAGGAAAGCAAACTATTTCAATCCTGTCATTACATTCAAGCAAGGATATTATTATTAATAAAGCTGGTATAGTTTTCTACTGTTCAACTATCAACTCCAAAAGAATTGTCACTTTTAGCCATTCAGTCTTATAATTCAGATACTTATTAGAGCAGCCTTCCTTCACTCATGTTAGCCCAGATTGGTGGGATTTACTGTATATGATTTCAAAATAACTAGTATCATCAGTTCTCACTTGACTGTAATTTGATCATTAATGTTACTATGAACAAATCTCTTGACTGTAATTTGATCATTAATGTTACTATGAACAAATCTCTCTGATTTCATCTGTATTAGCCTCATGTAGCTGCTGCAGTTACTCATTGTAGCACCTCTGTGAATATGTGACGAGAACAATCTTAAGAAACACTTGCAGAGCTAATTGAGAAAAAATAGCCAGACATGGCATTTAAGGTGTTCATAAGGAAGAAAAACAAGAGCCAGACTCTCCCTGAGACAGGAACACCTATGATTTTGTGCAACATCTGGCATTCTTGATCACAAAAGATAAAACCAGAACAAAGCATACCTTTGTGTCCCCAAAATATCTATGAGCCCATGAGAAAACTAGGAGGCTTAAAACAGTAGAAAAAGAAAAAGAAAATTTTCATTTAAAAACATTACTTTTCTGGTAAAATACGAGTAAGAAAACATTAACCTCACAGAATCTGAAAAACGCAGGTTCTGGCCCTTTCCACCTTTTGAACTGGGTTTTAGAATAGGCTTTGATTTATAATGATGCCTAAAAAAGGAGACATTTGCATTGGTATGTCTCATGAGAAAAAGAGACCAAAAAACATGAAAGGGTTTCTTCTCTGGCCCTCTAAAAATAGGTGGAGAATCATTCTACGAAAGTGGTAAGCTGTGCATTCAGTGGGCTGTCTTAGTGTCTGTTTGACTGGAGGATGGCGCTCTGGCTGACCTCCCCTTCACACCGGTGCCTCGCTCTGACTTCCCAATCCCAAGACATGGGAACAATCCAGAGACAGTAACCTCATCACACTCAGTTGGAACTGACCACTAACATCCCATGACCTCTCCAGCCAGAAATCAGAATCCTACAACTTTCACTGCTTCCTTACCAAAACAACATGAAAACCCAAAAAAGGATGCGGTTTCATTTAAAAACTTAAAAATATTCACACAAACACCATAACTTGCCAATACTGGCCTTCCCTTCATTCTGTTGCAATAGGGTGAATAAAAGGAAATGATTTTTTTTAAAGATACTATTTTTCTTCCAAAAATGCATTTAGCAGAGAAATACTGACTTTGCATTTTTAGACACAAAAGATTTACAACCAGGAAAAAAAGGTGAGATTAAAAATGAGAGGTTTTCAAGTTTGTACACTTATGGTTGATGAAGCTCAGTGATAATCATTTTTTGAGCTATTATATTTAAGTCTGCTCTTGTATCAGAAAAATTAAACATTTATGCTATTTCCCAAATGTTAACGAAAAAATGAAAAAACATTCACGCAAACATTTCAAGCCTGAAAGAAACATTATTTCCTTAGAAAACAAACTCCTACAGAGATTATAAACAGAATTTTCCTACGTATGAACTAGAGAAAATGATCAAAATGAAAGGATTTGTATAATATTAATATTAAAAAATTCAAAAAACATATATTTTATTATTTCAAATTCCAAACCTACCTTCCCTAACTTTTTATTTTTGTTTTTTGTTATTAGGTTATTTTCATGTAGCAAATTTTCACATCTGCTTTTCACCATTTCAGCTGCTTCTTGCAACTTTTGTACCTGAAAATAAATATTATTAGACCAATATATATTATTTTATTATTAGAACCATGACATGAAATAAAAATCTAAAATTTAAATTTTCATTTTAAACAAATCATTATTTTCCAAACAATACCCTCGGTAGGTATCCAATGTTATTCCTTCTTTGAATACAGAATCACTCAGGGCCCTACACTTATCCATAATTCTTTTACAATGTACGGGTCTTTTCCCATCAATACTTCTAGACTCTTCATTTGAGCTCTGAAAACTACAGAAATTGTCATTTCCAGGGCAATGTCACTTTAAAGAATTAGTCTCTGATCCAAATTAATTCCCATTTCAATTATTTTTCCCACCAAAACAAAATTCACTCAAAAAATATCTGTGTGCTTTATATAAGGCTCAGCACCTAAAATATAGTAACTCATCCACAGTGTTCCTACTATGGGATTAAACCCAACCAACCAGCTGGCAGACCCTGATGACAGGCTCAATAACAGGTCCCACAGCTTCCAGTCTTACTCCAGACCTGGATGACTAAAATATTCTAACGGATGTCTCAACTCCATTTTCCCATCTATTCCATCCAGATGCAGCCCCTTCCTACTTGCCTAAACTTTGCCTGCCCCCCTTAAGTTCTTACCCTTAGTTTACTATTCTTTAATTCCAACTTTCTCTTACTGACCAGTTAGTTATCTACCATACAAGGGCCTATAAAAGTTCCATCTTTTTCATAAAGTTTTTTTCTTGAACACTACATTTCCAGAACATAAAGCTTTTCTATAAATTACTACTGAACACATGCTCTATTTCATATATATTGTCATATGTTCTTTTCTAGGTCTTTCGTGTGAATAAATTTGAATTATACTTTATTGAGAAAAGGGGAGTATTGGGTTTTAATGACCCTAGAAGGAAGTCATTAATCTAAATCAATACCATTAAATATACAAGATGACAAACACATATAACTAAGATTAACAATAATATAATAAGGTTCACATTACGCCTGTGTAATTAATTTTAAATCTACTTTTAGGAATATCGAATATATCCACAGGCAGTGTTTGAATCAGGAATTGGCAGAATCATCTATTTTTATTTTATTTTAGAATTATTTATTTGGTGGCTCACGCCCGTAATCCTAGCTCTCTGGGAGGCGGAGGCGGGCAGATTGCTCCAGGTCAGGAGTTCAAAATTAGCCTGAACAAGAGCGAGACCTCGTCTCTACTATAAATAGAAAGAAATTAATTGGCCAACTAATATATATAGAAAAAATTAGCCGGCTGGTGGCACATGCCTGTAGTCCAGCTACTCGGAGGCTGAGCAGGCAGGAGTTTGAGGTTGCTGTGAGCTAGGCTGATGCCATGGCACTCCCTCTAGCCCGGGCAACAAAGCAAGACTCTGTCTCAAAAAAATAAAAAAATAAAGGTATTTGGGACTTTAAATGTTTGGGACATATCATATCACAAAACAAGAGCTCTACTTCTCTTCAGTTCTGCTTATTTAGACTGCAAATAAATACAGTGTTACAAACTGTCTACCAATTTGAATAAACACTAAAATAAATACAGTGGTCACCTGAGTTTTATATACTTCCATGAGGGTTTTCTGTTGTTTTTCTACTTCTTGCAATTCTAAGAGTTCATTTTCAACAGAAACCACCTCATCTTTCAAAGCAGCAAGTGTAGCCTAGCAAGGAATATAGAAATAGATTTTATGAGTCATTAGAATACATTTATACTCCAGTTTTATTGAATTATAAAAAGTAATTCATTTATCAATAAAGTTAATAAAATAATTATTTTTTATTATATACAATTATCATCTAAAATGTAGGAATTTCAAAAGTTGACTATTACTTATGAATAACCTTAATAAAACTTACATAGGACACATGATTTTTAAAACTTTTAAAATTTACTGACAAAAAAAGAAGTGGAAAATAGACCATGTTCCCAAGTAGGAAGAATGAATACTGTGGACATATCAGGTTTTTCCAAATTAATTTAAAACTTTATAATTTCAACCAAAAGTATAATAAATGGGAAAGGGGGAGATATAACAAAACTAATTTAAAACTCATGGAATGGCCGGGCGCGGTGGCTCACGCCTGTAATCCTAGCACTCTGGGAGGCCGAGGTGGGCAGATTGCTCAAGGTCAGGAGTTCGAAACCAGCCTGAGCAAGAGCGAGACCCCGTCTCTACTATAAATAGAAAGAAATTAATTGGCCAACTAATATATATAGAAAAAATTAGCCGGGCATGGTGGTGCATGCCTGTAGTCCCAGCTACTCGGGAGGCTGAGGCAGGAGTATTGCTTGAGCCCAGGAGTTTGAGGTTGCTGTGAGCTAGGCTGATGCCATGGCACTCACTCTAGCCTGGGCAACAAAGCAAGACTCTGTCTCAAAAAAAACAAAAAAAAAACTCATGGAACAATAAATAGGAAAGACTAATATAATTCTGAAAGGAATACTAAGTGGGGAATCTTAGTATTTATTATTGATTAAAATGTATAAAGAATTAAAATTATTAAGAGATACTAATATAAGAATATAGAGGTTGATAGAAAAAAATAAAAATACTCTAAAAATTATACTTAGTACATGATAAAGGTTAGATTTTTAAATCAATGGAGAAAACATAGATCACTAAATAAATTGTATAAGACAGCTATTTAACTATTAGGAAAAAAACAGGTTAAATATCTGCCTCAACCCAAAACTTAAGAAGCACCAAATGAATTAAAGATTAAATATAAAAAATAAAATTTTAAAAATTTTCAAAGAAGATCCAGATAAAACCGTATTTGATTTTAGGACAGCAAAAACCCTATTAAGCATAAATCAAAAGAAGATAAGGAGAACTGTTAAGAATCTGAGATTTTTACCCTCCTTGCTAGCTTACCACAGTTTCATAGATGTTGCAAAAGACACAAGACTCTTGGGTCAGAGACAGAGGACTTTATTACTCACAATAATAGGAGTAGCAAGACTATCAGCACTTGTGTCAGTTTTCTGAGCTCCAATTCCCATAAGGCAATATAAAAAAGGCCAGGTAACAACCACATACACAGTGGGATGCATTACAGAAGAATAAACCTGAGTTTAGGAAACCCAGATGTCTTATAACTGGCAGTAAGCATGCCTATCCTTTGTTCCAAAGGGTAACATTGCTATCATCTTCCAAAGTGCTATCATCTTGAAAAGATAGCCTGGATCTATTTTTTTATGTATGGTCAATGTCTCTGATTGCAAGATGTGTCAAACTGTGAGACCACTCCCAACAGAAGCTACACAAAAAAATACATGTATATATAAAATGTATTACATCTCCAAAATTTAATAGCCTCTCTAAAAAAGTTTAAAGCAAGCAAAATGTGAAAAAATATAGCAAATCATGACAAATATAAGATTAATATCCCTAATATAAGGAGTTACTATATGTTAATTAGGACAAAAGGCAAATATAAAGGATAATGACTAGGTATTCAAAAAGGGAGAAATGTATTAGGTTATTAGGTATGAAATGTCAGAGTTCCTTAAGTACTAAGTTTGACAGTTGATATCTATGATGTTTCACTTTGACACTTCCTGTTTTATTTTTATTGTGAAAGTACATCCTCATTCTTTCAAAAGCATGGCTTGGCTTATGATTATCTGTCAAATTTTTTAGAGCAATTTCTGTGAAACCATGGATAAATCAAAAATTCACATTATTTTCAAATATGAGTTCCATCATGGAACCGATGCAGTGCAAACAGCTTGAGATATCAAAGAAGTGTCTGAGAAGAATGTAGCTAAGGAATGCATAGTACATTGATGGTTTGAGAAGTTCCCTTCTGGTGATTTTAATCTTGAAAATGAGCCGTGTGGGTGATCTGCAACCAAGAGGGCTAATGATGAGCCTAAAGCTGTAGTGGAAGCAAATTCATCTCAACCTATGAGTGAATTAGCAGCAAGGTTTGACGTTACTATTCCAATAATATTGGACCATTTGAAACAGATTGGCAAGGTAAAGAGATAGATGGGTACTGCATGAATTAAATGAGCATCAGAAGAGAAACTGTCTCGAAGTTTGCCTTTTTTTGTTGCCATGACATAAATGCGAACATTTCTACACCATATTGTTATGGGTGATGAAAAATGAATTCTTTTTGACAATTGCAAGCATTCTACACAATGGTTGGATAAAGATGAAGCACTGAAACACAATCCAAACTGAATATTCATTTATAAAAAAGCTGATGGTGTCTGTTTTGTGGTCCAGCGTTGGTATTATCCACTACAGACAACTTCATGAAACCTGGTCAATCATTTCAGATGTCTACTGCAAGCAACTGGATGAAATGATGAGGATGCTTGCGATTAAGCAGCCTCTTCTTCCAGGCTTTGGACCATTTATTGCAAGGAAAAATATTTAATTCTCAACAAGCTGTGAAAAACACCCTTCTTGATGTCATTGCCACTCTCTCTCCAGGCTTCTTCACTGCTGACATAAGCAAGCTACCATTAAGATGGCAAAACAGTGTCGATAGTTTAGGCACATACTTTGATTGACTGTACTGCTTCTTGTTTGAGATATAATAAACTTTTGATTCGAAATTCCACAGTTAATCACCTAATAAATGATCAATGAATATATGAACCAATATGTTCACTAGTCATTAAAAAATGCTCTAGGCACTGAAAATTCCAGTAGTGAACAAAACAGACAGCAATCCCTTCCTTCAAGAAGCTTACATACTATAAGGGTAGATGGACAAAAGAATAAGCAGTAAAATATATAACACACAAAATCAGGACAGGAATGACATGTAGGGGTAAGGTAGAGAAGGCCTCTTGAGAGAGGGACTTTTGAGTAAAAACTAAAAGGAAGTGTGACTAAGGAAAGAGCATTCCTGTGGAAAAAGGCAACACTGGGAGGAGGCCTAGCAAATTATGGGGAAACAGCAACAAGGCCAGTGTAGTAGGAATACAGAAAACTAAGGGGAGTGTGGAAGGAGTTGAGATCAGACAGGTAATGAAAAGCCAAGTGGTGTAATGCCTTGTAGGTATCTACTCTCTTAACCAAGGTACCATTGCGGGGTGCTCTGAGCAGTACAGTGATATGTTCTGACTTACGTTTTTATAGGAACTACTCTCCTGCGACACTGAATGCAGTGGCCAGGGCAGAAGTAAGAATGGTCAGGTAATCATCGCAAAACTGAGAAATGATGGTGGCTCTGAACCAGGATAACAGAGGGTAGTACTGGTGAGAAGTGGTCAAATTCTGAATATATTTGAGGTAGATTTGCTGACAGACTAGAAGAAGGATTTCCAAAAACCCTGAGAGAAAGAATGATTTGCCATTAACTGAGATGATGAAAACTATAGGATGAACTATTTTGGGGCATATCAAAAGCTCCATTTCAGACATGATAACTTTAACACACCTATTAAATATACAAGTGGAGATGTCAAGTAGGCAGCAGAATATGTATCTAGAATTCAGAGACAAGGTCTAGGTTACAGGTATAAATTTGAGTCCCCAGCATATAGATGGTATTAAAAGCCACAAGATTAAATTAGTACTTTTATTTGCCTAGTGCTAGAAAAAGTATAGGGACCCTTTTACATATAGTAGACACATTTATGATGGATAATTACATAACAACCATATTAAAAATGAGTCTCTCTTTTGACCAGATAATTCCACTTCTAGAAATTTATCCTACAATAGATGTGCAAAAAAAGACTCAGAAAGAAACTATCTAACTTTTTATTTATAATAGCAAAAAACTGGAAGTAGCATATATATTACATACAGTATCAAAAATTATATATATGCTAAAATATTAACTTTAGTTATCTTTCAGTTGTGAGATTACAGGTGATTTTTAAAGTTTATCCATTTGTGTTTTTCGGTTTTTCCAACTTTCTACGATGAACAAATAAAACTTTATAACTCTCCAAATAAGCTTTTTTTGTTTTTATAGAGGAGGTTTCTGGGCCTTGGAAGTAATAGCAGCAGCTTCTTTTTTATTTGAAACTTTAAAATCTAATATTACTCTAAAGTAATTAAAAGTGACAAAATACAAACATCTAAGCAATTTCATACCAAAATAACATATGTCAAACACATCTAAATATTTTCTTTAAACAAAAATCTAGAATACTGTATTAAAAAATACATGCTTCTGAATTATTAATAGAATGTGTTAAGATACAAACTTTAACTCAATGATTTTTATAGTCTATGTAATTTAAAATTCCTTTATCATATAATTAAAAACTAGATTTACAATTAATGGAATATCTTTCTAATCCTTCCTCTCTGAAGGATAACAAGGAAATTAAGTAAATAAACATAATAAATAAAATTGCTTCTTCTTCACAGATAAAATGACTTAAAACATTCATTCAACAAATATTCATTCAGAACTAAGTATATGCCACACCCTCCCTGGGCACCTCGTGCACACAAAGATGGGAGTTTATATGGAGTGATTCACCGAAAAGACTGAGAGGAAGTGGCATTTGAGCTGAACTTTAAATGGAGAGTAGAATTTGGATAGTGAGAAAAAGAGCATTCCAAAGTATAAGAATAGGAAAACTATAGGAATAGATGCAGGAAACATGAAAAAACTGCAGGAAATAATGAGTATTCATATTTGGTTAGATCTCAGAATAACTAGAAGGCTACATTCCCTG